AAAGAGTTTAAAGATATTCATGAGATTGCTCTGTTTTTTCTTTAGGTAAATGAAGGTTTTTTTAGAGGAAACTCTCCTAAAACACACCAGAGTCCCTCAACACCGTAACCTCATCACAGATCCCAACAGATCAATCCATAATGATGACCCTAGTTTGTTTTTCTCCTCCCTGCTGTTACCTGTTGAGGCCTTGGTGTCGGCCTTCTTGCTCTCCCGGTCCCCCTTCTGGGCCCACACGTGGACCGTGTACTCCATGCCTGGCCTCAGGCCTGTCAGGACGGTGCTGCTCTGCTCCTTCCCCACTGGAACGTCCCTGGTGTCTCCATCGGCGGAGGTGTAGCGCACCATGTACCTGTCAATGACGGCCTGCACCGGCTCCCAGGAGATGGTGGCTGTGGTCTCCGTCACCCGGTCGGTCACCAGGTTTTGAGGGCTGTCAATGTCTAGAAATAAAAAATGCTGATCACTATGCACTATTAATGGATCAAACTAGTGGCTATTTTGCTTGGGGCGAAACATGTTCATATTTTGTGGTTTTTCCATTTCATATGCTCTCTAACTCCTTCCTGGACATATATCTTCTCTTCCCAGATAGACTTTGGCTCCTCAAGGAGAAAGCACAGTAGACCAAACTCTGAAAGTCTACGCCATGACCTCTACTAAGAGTTTAGCAAAAACAAATCTCTTTACTCATTTAGTAAGCGTATGTCACACTCCCACCCTGCACACACAATGGTGTTAGTCAGAGCGTCAGGTCCAAAGGAAGACACAGGCTTTGCTCACAGCAGCTAATAATATCATTTCTAGCATCCTATCAATGAAGACCTCCCATTTCATACAAGAATATTCTAATAGCAAGGCACACACAGAAGCTCCTAGAGGAAGAGGAATGTGTCCTAAACCCTCAGGGCTCTCACTGCCTAATAGAGGACAGGGCAAATGGAAAGTGCTCAATCTGTGTTGCTAAACAAATCGGCAAAAATTAAAACCTAGTTTTAATGTTCTTTATAATATCATAGATTCACTCAGAACACGAGTTTGCTAGTTAAATCTCCATACAGAAATATGGTCATTCATCTCTTTCTCATAGGATAGGAATATAACATAGAAGTTACCCTTATTCTCAGAGCTAGAATCATCATATTGTTCATTCACTATAGAGCAAACCACAAACATCAACTTGCTCTAATAGATATAAAGTCTACTTTTTGAAGTTAAATTTTCAACATGTTAATATAAACAACATTGGGTTTTCCTTTTCTGTTCCCACTCACAAATTCAGTAGGGGACCCTCAACACTGTCCACAACAGAAGATTCATGTGGCTTGGAGACACATGAGCAAATCGTTGCTTGGAGACAGCCATGAGGCCCTGACTTGTAAGGAAAGCAGGTAAAAGGGAGTGGGCATGATGGGTACAGTCCATTATAACGGGACACCATTCTTCTCTCCGTAAATCATGGATTTGACCAGTATCAGGGATGGAAACAAAAATTAACCACCCATACACTTAGTGTGACAGGTCTTACATTCCCCAAGAGCAACGCTCCCTTACCTGTCGGGGCCCTGGTGTCAGCCTTCTGGCTCTCCCGGTTCCCCTTCTGGGCCCACACGTGGACCGTGTACTCCACACCTGGCCTCAGGCCTGTCAGGACGGTGCTGCTCTGCTCCTTCCCCACTGGAATGTCCCTGGTGTCTCCATCGGCGGAGGTGTAGCGCACCATGTACCTATCAATGACGGCCTGCACTGGCTCCCAGGAGATGGTGGCCGTGGTCTCCGTCACCTGGTCGGTCACCAGGTTTTGGGGGCTGTCAATGTCTGAAAGGAAAATGCTGATCAATAAACACTATTAGCAGACTGAGATCTCATGGCATGTTACTTGGGGTGAGACAGCTTCCTGTTCTTAAGGTTCCCCATCCCATTCACAGGTTTTCAGTTGTGTCATGGACAGAGACCTTCTGTGCATGGCTGGACTCTTGGATCTTCAAGAAGGCAGCACAGTAGAATGAGGCCCAGACACAGAGTCAGAGGAGCTGGCTTCTAGCCCAGAGACAGAGCAGAGGGGCGGGGAACAGAGATGAAAATATTTAAAAAGTATGAACTCTTCTTGAATATTACTTTAACCGTAGGATCCTCAGAACAGTGCACAAAGTGCTCAGGAGGACTTGTTCACCAAGAAAACAATAACCCTTCTTGTTCCAAAGAGATCACAGCAGAAGCCATTGCCCAAAAGTACTTAGCTCACAGATCCTAACATATAAGCCTCTTTCTATTTTTCCCTTTCAAGAAGAAATAATTTAGTGACTGATCACAAAGGAAATACACAGTGGGAGGAACAGTGGGTGGAGGGGACTGATCACCATTTATCTTTACAAGAACAAAGTATGAAGCCGAAGAACAACTCTCTATTACCTGTCGGGGCCTTGGTGTCGGCCTTCCTGCTTTCCCGGTCCCCCTTCTGGGCCCACACATGGACCGTGTACTCCATGCCTGGCCTCAGGCCCGTCAGGACGGTGCTGCTCTGCTCCTTCCCCACTGGAACCTCCCTGGTGTCTCCATCGTCAGAGGTGTAGCGCACCATGTACCTGTCGATGACGGCCTGCACCGGCTCCCAGGAGATGGTGGCCGTGGTCTCCGTCACCCGGTCGGTCACCAGGTTTGTTGGGCTGTCAATTTCTTAAGAAAATATTTAGGAAAGTTTAAGCTTTGAAGTCACGGTAGAGATACCCACCAACCCATCTCCATGATTTCATCGTCTGGAGCTTTGTTGGCACAAGGAATGATATTCCCATTCTGAGTCTCTCCCTGAGAGGGAGTCGAGGGCAAAGGTCACCCCTCGTTCTCAATTCCAGAGGACCACTCATTATAAACCTGACATACTTTCTTGGCTTTTAGTTCCCGCTAATGATGTCTTCTTTGTAACATTATGGCACAGCAAAACAATCCATCATACATCTGCCATGACATTCAGGACACCTAATTTATAGTTTATCAAGGGCTACTTTACAGGTGATCACTCTGAAAGTATTACCACCAGCACTGCAATGGCCACATCCTCTGAACGTCTCTGCTGAGTCTGCTAAAAACACTGCTACTGCACAACTTTATGTCTCTCTTCTAGTAGGTAGAGGCTTTTATGACCAGCTCAGAGCTGCCAGAAAGAGCAGCTCACGGAGATAAGCACTAGACTCACTGTCCTGTTTGAGCGTTAAGACTTGCTTTGCAAAGTCTCTCAACTCAGGCCATGTCTTTTGGTACCAAGTGCTCAAAATTCAATTCCAACTGACCACCTCTCTCGTTACCTGTCGGGGCCTTGGTGTCGACCTTCTGGCTCTCCCGGTCCCCCTTCTGGGCCCACACATGGACAGTGTACTCCACGCCCGGCCTCAGGCCCGTCAGGACGGTGCTGCTCTGCTCCTTCCCCACCGGGACCTCCCTGGTGTCTCCATCGGCAGAGGTGTAGCGCACCATGTACCTGTCAATGACGGCCTGCACTGGCTCCCAGGAGATGGTGGCCGTGGTCTCCGTCACCCGGTCGGTCACCAGGTTTTGGGGGCTGTCTATTTCTTTAAGAGAAAGAAAAGAGTGCAGCATTTAGCAACTCTCTGGCTCGTGAAAGGCCAGGTTCCCCAAATGATGACCTCGAGAAATTTCAGTTTGTTAAACGCAAATGATTGAGAAAACTTGAGGGTTTAATTAAACAAGTGGTCTGAAATTTCAAGAATGGTCTATTTGCATTTCATGAGAAGTAGGGTGTGCAGACAAAGCCACCATAAAGTCTCAACTTTGTAAACTTTTTCCACAAGTTGCCTTTGGATAAAAAGAATTGGTCTTCTTCTCCTTTCCAATGAATTTATAGAAAGCACTCTTTCAGTTTCCAACTCCTTGTACCTGAAAGAAATTGTACTTCAATAAATCTCAACATCTGCTCTAATATTGTTTTGGGGAAGAAAATTATCCTGGAAATAGGAGCTGCCAGTTCTTTCCACTGCAAACATTATGCCGCCTGGCCAGCATGACTCAGTGGTTGAGCATCAACCTATGAACCAGGAGGTCAAGGTTCGATTCCCAGTCAGGGTACATGCCCAGGTTGCAAGCTCGATTCCCAGTGTGGGGTGTGCAGGAGGCAGCCGATCAATGATTCTCTTTCTTCATTGGTGTTTCTATCTTTCTCTCCCTCTTCTTTCCTCTCTAAAAATCAATTTTAAAAAAACCAACATTAGAAAACAAACAAAAACATTATGTCTGTGGTCAAAAAAAGAAGACTCTAACTGCTGGCATTTGAGGTCTGGGATGATAGAAATAACCCTACTTGTAGAATCTGTTGGGTGTATATGTGATTAACCTGGGTTAGAATCTCTCTCCATGATTTCCTGTCAAGTGCTAGAAGCCTTGAGTGTTCTCCAGGATCCAGCTTCTGTGAACCCAGGGATAGTGCCGAGGAGGGTATAAGCAGAAAGAATGTCTGGGTATGCCAGGCAGTCTCGGGACACCGGCCAGAACTGAGCAGAGCGCTGGGTGGAGTATGGGGAACTCATGGCTTCTGAGGGCCCCAGGGCGGAATTGGTGTTTGGTGACTGTTGAGTCAGGACACGAACCATCCCCACACCTGAAAGGGAGCTCCAGTTCACATGCGAAGTGCCTGTACCTTCACTGCAAACTGTGACGAGCATTCAACTTCCAAATGTTTTGAGTTTTCACAACCAAAAAATGAAAATTAGAAAGTAAGTTACCCTTCTCTGAGGGAGCTGCATATGGAATTCCAACCCAAATAAGTGTGACCTTCTATATCAAATAAAAAGACTAGTCTCTTTTGTTTGAGGTTTAAAAATGAAAAAATTCATAATTATGCAATTTGAAATTGCTTCTGCAAGCCCCACCCCAACCCTTACAAAGAAAAGAGCTGCGGCCAATGGGCACCAGCCTCCTGATTCAAAAGTCAGCTTCCTCCTGTTACAGATAAACCAGAGAAGAACCAAGCAACGCTTAGAGAGATGGAGTTACATTTATTATTATTATGCGCGGGCCCAGAGGAAAATGCCTCTCAAATTGTGGGCGAAATCACACGGGATTTATACTATCTTATCCTCTTTGTCTCCCCAATATGGAGGTTTTTCCTGTTCCCTTTGCAGGTTCTTAAAGGGCCCTATGTGCTGGTGCTTTGCGACCTCGACCAAGGCTTGGCCTGACACCAGCACTGATAATTTCATCTGGAGGTTTAATGGCCTCTCTGAAATGGGAGTACTCTTATTTTCCTTATTATTTAAGCCAGCAAACATTTACAGGAGCCAGAAATAACAGGGTTAAAATTTCAAACAGCAGTTTTTATATAAGATGAATGCTTCACCCCTTGACGCGAGGATCCTGCTCCGTCCATACCTGTCAGGGCTGTAGTGTTGGCCTTTTTGCTCTCCTGGCTGCCCCGCTCGGCCCACACGTGGACTCTGTATGCCTCCCCCGGTGTCAGGCCTGTGAGGACTGTGCTGCTCTGCTCCCTGGGCACCGCTGTGTCCCAGGACTGCCCGTCGGCGGAGGTGTAGCGCACCATGTACTTGTCGATGACAGCCTGGACGGGTTCCCAGGACACCACCGCCATGTCTTCAGTCACTCGATCAGTGACCACATTGGTTGGGCCATCAATTTCTTCATAAAAATATGTGAAAAAGAAAAATTAGAGAAGTCATTTGGCTGGTCAAGATCACGGATGCTCAAGATCTAGTTCCTCCGGGTGACCTCGTTCCACAGTTTACACACGCAAGAGGTTGTCTCCACCACCCGAGACAGGTGGACCCTGGCCTCTGCTTGAACCCTATGCTGAGAGACGGCTTCAAGAGGGGCGAGATAAGCCCTTTAATAATAATAATAATAATAATAATAAATAGTAAATTTTAAAAGTGTGATCTGGAAGGTTTCTGCAATCTGAAACCAACAGCCCTTTGCCCCCCAAAACAGACTTCAGGACACAAAGATAGACACAAAGATACACTATCTCTACACACAAATCCCAGAGTTTTGCCCAGATGGGAGTCAGCTGAGAAAAACACCAGAAGACAAACCTGAGAAAAGCTCCTGGTGCCTCCAGGCAGTTCTTACCTGTCCTGCCGTTCAGGAAGATCGGCCTGCCCTCCAGGTCTCCTCGCATGGGGACAATTGTGATCTTATAGTCCACCCCGGGCTGCAAACCTGGAAACAAGCAGCCAGTGCTGGGTCTGAGTACTGGCTCCGGAGCCAGGACCCCAGCACTGTGCCCCCCACCAGGATTTCCCACCCACAGACTAATCCACATAAGGCAGGTAAAGAGCTTCAGGGCCAGTGGGGCCCCAGCACCGAGCACCAAGCGGGGGCTTATCCTTCAGTGGGGACGGGGCAGAGTGGTGCGAGGGAGCTTCCCGTCCCCTACCCCCCCTCTATCACACACACACACACACACACACACACACACACATGCAGTGCACCACCGAGCACTGACTTCCCAGTGTATTTACAGCCCAAACAATCTTTTTCTGCCCCTAACAATCCTTTTCCTCACGTTTCTTTCCTTCTCACTATAATAATTAACCCAGTGATTCCCAAAGTGGGCGCTACCGCCCCCTGGTGGGCGCTGCAGCGATCCAGGGGGGCGGTGATGGCCACAGGTGCATTTGTTTTAACTTTTTTTGTATTACCTTTCTATTCTGAGTTCAATAAATAGTTTCATAATTTCAAACGTCAGTGTTTCTAATTTACATCTTTCTTTACTATATTTTACGAAAAAGGTAGAAACATTAATACATATATCTTTCTGTTTAATTGCTATTAAAATTTAAAAAAAATAATTTCTAGGGGGCGCTGAGTAATATTTTTTCTGGAAAGGGGGCGGTAGGCCAAATAAGTTTGGGAACCACTGAATTAACCTAATTCCCCCCCCCACCTTTTTTTTTCCTTTTCTCTGCCTTATGTTATTTCTCTGTAGCACCAACTTGAATGATTGTTCCTCATGGCACAAACTCTCAGACTCTGGTGGCAAGTGCAGGCAAAGAGCAGTGTGAGCAAGACCCTGGTTTTCACTGCACCGTGGGGACCCCAAGACGGCCACTCAACATGGAACTCGGAGCAGACAGAGGAGCAGACCCCAGCTGGAGCCACGTGATGAATTGGGTATTCATGATTGCCTTCCTGCTTTTCTTAAAGAGGGCGCTGCTGTCACACACATAACCCAGCCCTGCATGGCCCGTTCCCCTAGCAGCCTCTGATTTCCTGTTCTCACAGCATTAGCTCGGGCATCTGGGGCAGGACCTCCCCAAGCCCAGCCACCCAGCAACTCCTTCCATGGATTATGCTGAAAAAATTATCTCCATCAGTTTCTCTCTCTCTCTCTCTCTCTCTCTCTCTCTCTCACACACACACACACACACACACACACACACACACACACGCGCGCGCGCGCGCGCGCGCGCGCGCACACACATTCTTCCAAAAGGAAAGTCTGTGCGCCCTCACATCCCCCTGAGACAGACTGGGTGAGACACGGGATGAGCATGTAGGATGAGTCATCTGTTAAGCAGGGGCTCTGGGATTCTGGAGTTACTCTGAAGTTCTGGAGTCGCTCTGGGATGCTGGAGCAGAGTCCTCGGGCTTCCAGAGTGGGCTCACTTCTGGGAGTTTCCGGGGTCAGGGTTCAAGGGATTCCTAAGGCCCCAGGACCCGCTGTGCACACGCTGTCCCCACCTCAGCATCCACAGCAAACCCTCCCATCCCAGTGCTGGCTCTTACCCGTGATGTCATATCGGCTCTTGGGGTGGTTGCTCTTGGGCACCGTGACTTCGGCCACCTCCTGCCCCGTCAGGGGGCTGTACAGCAGCTTGTAATAATCCACCTCGGTCGGGGGGTTCTCCCACTCCACGTCCAGGGAGTTCTCCGTCTCGTCTGTCACCCACGCGGTGCCAAGCACAGCAAGATCTAGGGCAGAGGCAGGACGGCAGGAGCAGGCGGTGAAGAGGAGGGAGGGCTGGCAGCTCCGTGCCAGGCCCTGGCTACCAGCTCAGTTCCCTTTCTTGACACACAGCGAGCAGGCTGCAGCCCTGCACACAGTCCTCAACAGGTGTCCTCGGACCACCAGGCAGCAAAGAAACTGTTGGTGTGCACACGGCAGAGGATGGACTCTGTTCAGGGAAAGCCGCCAGTGCCTGTCCCATCCCACCCCACCCTCCACCCATCCCAC